CTTGACCACTCACTGGTTCTGTGATTGTGGAGAAGTTTCTGACACTTGGATCTCTTTTTTGAACTCCATTTCCTCATTTACAAAGTGGAGATGATTGCAACATGGCAGAGGCAGTTGGAAAGGAGAAATGCAGAAAGGGATCAGGACTGAGCCTGGTGAGCAGAAAGTGCTGGGCAGACACAGTCCATTTAGACACGATAATCCTCCTCCTCCATGAGGCGCAGAGCCCGGGGAAGCAAGCTGGTGAACGCAGCCCACATCTGCCTGCTGCCTCCATGTGCTGGCTCTCTGTACCCCCTCCCTGGAGTGTCCGCACACACAGCTCCCCAGGAAATCAGTGGCAGAATTCAGAACCGGAAATCAAGTCTCCAGACAGCTACTAGCTAACCCCTGGCTTAGCCCCTGGTTCCCCTGTGGCTCCTTCTGGGGACTGAATCCTGTTAGCATTCCTGGTGCAGTCCCAACATACTCTCCCACGGGTGGATTGAGAGATGTGCATGTCACCAAGAAGTGGGTAGTGTTTGCGGGGTTCCTCAGGAATGGCACAGGCATCTGTATGTGCTGGGGTCATTCCAGCCCTGGGCCTTGACTGGTGGCCAGTCCCCTCATCCCCTTTCCCTTCTTCCCCTCTTCCTGCCCCTTGATAATAGGAGGTCAACTTTTCCATGTGGTATTTGTCTCTCCCTGTGAATGTGGAGTCTAAGCCCTGCCAAGCTTATCTGTACAATGGATTTCCTGCTGGTGTTGGATCGACCCTATTCCCCGTTGGGTAATAAATTTATGTCGCCTGAGCGCACAGATCTGCTGACGTCTGTGATGCCGGTGGCCTTGGCAGACCCCAGCTCCCCCAGCCTGGGTGGGAATCTGCATACATAAACCCTGGCTGATGTGTAATGAGCATCCCGGTTAGGCATGGAGAGCCAAAACTGGCTGGGTGGTGAGGATGTGGGAAGGTCATTCATCCATCAACTGTTTATTGAGGCTCCTGTGTGCCCACCCCTGTGCTGGGCTCTGAGCAGACAGAGGACACTCGCGCTGACCTGGGAATCAGATGCAGATAATTATACCACGGGCAGCGTACTTCTGGGGTAGCACTAAGGACAGAGCCGGTGGGAGGAACACACAACCTAATTTGGGGCTGTGGGGTTGAGTTTTAATAAAAAGTTTTCTTTCCTGGCAGTAATCCTCAGCAGAGATAGCCCCACTGGGCCCCGGAAAGGTGGACAGCTCTTTGGGGCTTGAACGTATCACAACCTTTGCATCCATGGTGTTTGGACCAGCCCCAAATCCAGAGCACCCACTATAGCACCCCAGGGATGCCCTCTTCTCTCCTGCCCCTCTGCCCACGTGTGTAGCAGCAGGGGCATTTGGCCTCTTGTCAGAATTTCAAGTTCCCATCAAACTATTAAAAGAGTAACATGCTAATTGACCATACCGTTGCAACATCCACCAGCCAATCAGGAGTGAGTGTGCAAATTAATCCAACAAAGATGGTGGGTTAATTTGCATACACAGGCGCCAAATACCTGGGACCATTTCACACCACCCCAGCTGCTCTAGGCCTTTAGGCAGCATGGGAAAGCTTCAGTCAGAGCTAAGGTGGTGCCAGCAGCTAGAGGAAGGAAGGCCCATTCTTGCATGAACCTTCATGCATTGGGTCTCTAGAGTTAATTATATCAAGTGTGTTCTAAGAGGAACTGGCCTGGCCCCTGCCAGCCAGCCCTCTCTCTTGCCTTGGTACATCTGCACCAAATTTCCCCCCTTTAGATAAGTAGGCCCATTGGTATTTACTTTGACATTAGGTTGTGGTATGAGTGGTGTCTCTGCAATTTCAGGCCACAGTGGTGGGAAAACTGAGCTTTCACAGATGGGATCCAGGTCTAGCAGGGGAGGGCAGGGTCAGAAGCAGTACACCAGCTACTGTGTGCACAAAAAATGCACAGCAGCCCCCCAATTGGTAGGAGGGGGTGTCCTGCCTTGTCCTGGGAGCAGTACTGGATCATGCATCCTGAATAGAAGGGTGCAGGAGGGCTCTCCTTCTTCTCTTCTTGCCCTTCCTCACCCCACATCCTCCCGCCCCCTCTCCATCTCTGGCCCTGGAGTGACAGAACTCGGCAAACAGGAAAAGATGCACTAACTGCAAAGAAATGCAATGAATTCAAACCTAACCCCAAAGCCAACCTGGGGTTTGGAGTCTGGCTTTCAGAAGCCTGTCATGGTCTGGCTATGTCCGAGCTGAGCCCGAGGCGCTGGGGGCATGAGATAAGATGTGGAGCTGGCCTCAGGGTAGTTGGCTCTCGCCAGTCAGCTCCCACCAGAAAGGAAGCCCAGGGAGCTGCACGCCCACTCCTGGCGCCTCTGGAAGGAGTCCTATCTCAGCAGTGACTTCATTTCCCCCGTGGGGTGTCCACAGACCCTAAGCCACACGGATTGCAGTGTGGGAGCTTTGATAGGCTTGTTTGTGCTTTCCCTTTGGGAGGCTGCAGGCCCACTGAGTGATAACTGGATGATGGAATATTTGCTAGGGGAAAGAGAATGCGTTTTTGTTAGATAAGGTTAGATTCCTGGCAGAAGGGAAGTTTCCGAATGCCTCTGCAGTGTCCAGCTGTGAGGAGTGGGTGCAGCTCTCCTGCCCTCTCTCCTTGCTGGGTTATCCTGAGTTATTTAACTCCCCTTTCCCTCCAGGTGAAATCTTACCTCAGGGAAGTTGCCCAGGGCTGCCTGGGAACAGGGCAGGGTGCTGTGTATGGGTGTTTCTGATTCTCTTGTCAGAATACTGCCCTTTTCTGCTGTTTTTGTTTCTGTTGTTTTTAAAGCAGTATTGGTGTTCCTGATAAGATTTTGTTTGAATAAAGGGCTTTGTCCCACATAACCAGCTAGGTCTTTGTGTTTACCCTTCTCTCCAAAATGGCTGCAGCTTCCTTGGGGAAGTCTTGTTCAACGTCACAGTGTCCATGTGACCTGCCATGGGATGTGCCTCTGCCCACTGTGACCAGGTCTACAGGACCAAAGCCATACCCCTATTTCTGTCATTTAAGACCTTCAGCATCTGGCTCCAGACAAACTCTTCTCCTTCTCCTCCCTTCCCCAAAGTATCCTTCTCTCCATCCATCTAGAACTTCTCTTTTCCCTCTGAGTCTTTCTTCTTTTTATTCCTGGCAAACCAGAGTCAGAACAGTATGGTGGGCTCTGGAGTGAGACCACCTGGATTTGAATCCTGGCTCTGCCCCTTTCTATCTGTGATGCCATGGGCCAAATACCTAGCTGCTTTGTGCCTCAGTTCTTCTAGCTGTGAAATGGGGATAATAATATTCCTCTTAGATGTGTTGTGAGGATTGAGAGCGAAAACACATAAAGCACTTAAACCAGTGCCTGCACATAGTAAGTGCTCGACAAACACAGGCTGTGGTGGTGGAGTGATGATGATGATGACAGAAGAGGAGGATAAAAAGGAGGAGATGGTAGTTGGGCTGATGTGATTTTAAAGACCTTCTCTGTGAAGTCTTCCAGTTTACCAAGTAGGATTAGCTTTTCCCATTCTGGGCTCCACATAGAACTAGATATTGATTTCTACTAGCTTGTGTCACACTTGATACCATATGCTTTTTTTCTCTCATATGATTATTTTGCTAAAATATAATTCACTTGCCATAATAAATATAACTCAAAGCATGCAGGTCAGTGGCTTTAATATATTCACAAACGTGTTCGACCACCACTATGACCTAATCCCCATAAAAAGAAATCCTTCATCTGCCACTCCCCAATCTCCTCCCCCTCCTCCATTACCTTGCAACCACTAGTCTATTTTCTGTCTTTGTTGATTTGCCTGTTCTAGACATTTCATATAAATGTACTCCTATAGTATATGTCCTTTTGTGACTCCCTTCCTCCCCCACTTAATATAATGCTTCCAAGTCTCATTCATATATCAGCACTTCATTCCTTTTTATAGCTGAATAATGTTCTGTGGTGAGGCTATCCCACATTTCGTTCTGCATAGCAAATGGACGCTTGGGTTGTTTTGGCTGTTACGACTAATGCTGCTGTGAACATTCATGTACAAGCTTTTTTGTGGGCATATGTTTTCATTTCTCTTCAGTATCCACCTGGAAGTAGAGTGGTTGGCTCATGTGGTAACTCTGTCTCTAACTTTGTGAGGAACAGCCTAACTGTTCCAAAACACCCACACCTTTGTACGGTTCCGCCAGCAGTGCGAGGGCTCCAGTTCCCCCAGCTCCTCGCCAGCACTTGTTGTTGTCCGTCTTCTTGGTTACAGCCATCCCAGCGGGTATAAAGGGACATCTCAGTGTGGCTTGATGATTAATGATGTGGAGCATCTTTTCATGTGCTTATAGGCCATTTATATATCTTCTTCAAGAACTGTCTATTCAGATCGTCTTCCCGTTCATTAACTGGGTTGTTGGTCTTTTTGTTGTTGAGCTGTAAAATTCTTGACAATTGTGATTCCTTATCAGATATATGATTTGCAGATATTTTTCTCACCTGCTGGTTATCTTTTCACTTTCTTCATAGTAGCCTTTAAAGCACAAAAGTTTTTCATTTTGATGAAGTCCAATTTATCTCTTTTTCCTTTTGTTGTTTATGGTCCCAGTATCACATCTAAGAAACCATTGCCTAAGCAAGGTCGCAAAGATGCACCGTAAGCTTTTAAAAAGCAATCTTATTTTTAATAACCCTACAAGGAGAGGGTAGCAGGCCCGTGTTACAGATGAAAAAACTAAGAGGTCCAATGCCAGAGATGGGATGTAAGCCCAGTTCAGTCTGACTCTGAACCTCACGTCTATCTAACTGTGCCTCCCCCCCAAGTCCCTTTACCTCTGCATTCCTCACAGGTCCACAGGTGGAAGGTCCTACCAGGTGCTTGTTTTGTTTGCACTTGCTGTTTGATTTGGGTGAGAGGGGTTTGCTGCTGACCGTGGGTTTGTGTCTACGATGCTAGAGTCACTGAGTGTCTCTCTCTGCTCTCACCTCTGCAGTGTCTCATCGTTGGGGGCGGACCATGTGGTTTGCGCACGGCCATTGAACTTGCCTACCTGGGAGCCAAGGTGGTCGTGGTGGAGAAGAGGGACACCTTCTCCCGGAACAACGTGCTGCACCTCTGGCCTTTCACCATCCATGACCTACGGGGCCTAGGAGCCAAGAAGTTCTATGGGAAGTTCTGTGCTGGCTCCATCGACCACATAAGTGAGTAGCGTCAGTGGTGGCACCCCGTGAGGGGAGGGGGCTGACCTGGGGACACATCTCTGCACATTGAGGAGTCCCCAGAATGTTCCATCGTTTAAGTCTATGGGAGCTCCACAAATCCAGCTGGCAGGACCTGTTTTGTGCCTTGGGCCAGGCCCTGTGCTATGCCCCCCATAGGCTATGAGCACCATGAGGTCAAGGACTGTGGCATGTCTTGTTCACCAGAGTATCTCCAGAGCATAGAAGAGTGCTTGACACATAGTAGGTGCTTAATAAGCTTCTGCTGAGTGAATGAATGAAATATGGAAAACCGAGGCAGAGGGACATGTAGCATACTCTGCCCCGAGAGAGCTCACGGAGGTTTTGTCAGTAATGAAATGTGCTTTAACAGAGGAGTCAGACTTCTAGAGGAGTTCGGAAGAGGGAGCTACACGAAGCCATTAAATGGGCCAGGTTGTCGAGGGCCTTTTGAGCAGGAGTACTGCCGGTTCTGGGGAACCCTGGCAGCTTTTAGGACAGAGGAATGCCACCAATCCTCATACCAAGTTTTATTGCGCTTTAAAAGGAGAGCACATCATGATGATAGTCATTCCAAAAAGGAGGGGAAAGACAGAACATGGGTTTCGGGTCTGGGCCATCCCTGAATGCTTAGGTAGGGCGAGGTGAGAGCTGAGGCCCTTCTGTCCAGATGTTTCTCATGCCTGGGCCTCTTGGGGCAAGATCTGTGCAGGCGCATTTTGGGAGAGCAGCCTCCCTCCTCCCATAAAGGAAGGAGGTCTTTAGTCATTTTATATATAGTGACTCATAATTGTTAGGGCAGTTCATACTATGGGAAGAGTGCAAGGTTTGGACAGATTTGGCTCCAAAATATGTCTTGCCCATTTTTTCTGTGTGACTTGGGTCAAATTCCTTACCTTCTTCAAGACGCACTTTTGTCTCCCATAAATGTGATTAATGCCTGCCTACCAGGATTGCTGAGGAATGAATAAGGTCAAGTTTGTAATGTACTTATCACTGTACCTGGTGCATAGTAGCTACTCAGGAAATGCTTACCATCTAACCATGTACAGTGAGCAAGAAGCAGCCAGGGTCTCCAAGGTTCAAAATTCAGAATTCAAAACATGGGTGGGAAGAGAATCCTGAAAACTATGTTTTTATGAGAATAAGAACTGATGGGAAACGGGTATGGGATTTAAGTGGGAATGCCTGGAGAGAATGATCAGCTTCACAGGGTGTAATTTAGCCAGATGCAGGAGAACTTACCAGAAGTGGCCCCAGAGTTTATCCCTGCTCTGAGATGAGAAAATTCCATGAGTCCATTGGAAAGTAATTTGGATTTGCCCAGAAAGTTGCTGGGTCAGCTTTCAGGATATTCCTTACCACCCATTGGAAGAATGTATGCTGGTTACCACTTAACAACAACAACATGTAGCACCACTTTCTCATCAGACCTTCCCGAGAGGCAGAGCCGGGCACCGGGAGGCCTGGGAGGGCCCCAGGGCTGTCGTGTTGCCTTCTGGGCAAGCAGCCCCTCTCTGCTCCCAATTAACCCCTAGTCCTTGGGACTACCCCAGTGTGCAGGAGAACTGGCAGTACTGTGGAACCAAGATTCAGAGTGATCGTTGTCAAGGGCAGCCCCAGGGCCTGTGAAAAGGGAGGCAGGTATAATTTATTGAGCACCTACTGTGTGCTGGAAACATATAGCCCAGGCCTGTTTCCAGGCCCAGCTGATCGGCTTCCTTTCTGATGGACCATGGTCTCCAGCCCCAGCTGTGTCCTAGACCTCAGCATTGCACAGCTGTTCTCAGCTTGTCCTGTGTCAGCATCTTCCTCCAGTTCCCACAGTAGCTGTTCCAAACCTCCACCACAGCCTCCTCATTCATAGCAGCTGGCCTCCCTCCCATGCTCTGGGGAAGAGAAGCCACCAGCAGGGACTTCCCATTTCAGCCCCCTCTCCTTCCTGCTCTACCCGTATACTTACTCCTTCTTTTCAACCCAATGTCAGAGGCAGAGCTAACCACCCCCTCTCCACACTGCTCCCTCTTGATTCCTTCTTCCCTTTTTACCTGCCCCATTACTTAGTCTTCCCACTTCTTACCTCACACTGCCCCTCCTCTGTCCTTTGTTGTTGCCCATCACTTTTCTTTACTTCCAAGTATTTATTCTAGAAAGAGATGTAGACTTTGTCTATACTTTCCATTCACGCCTCCTTGCATTGTGGTCTGATTTCTTCTTGACCACGAGCACATGAGCTTTTCACCAAGGTCTCTAGAAGCTTCCGAGCTCCCAAGTGCCCTGGCTTCCCATAGTCTCCATATTCCTTCATCTCTCCAGGGATGTGGTACTCTTGGTCCCTCCTCCTCTCTAGGCACTCAGGATTGCAGCTCTGTCCCCACCGCCATGCCCTGCCCCATTCTGAATACCTGTGTTTCCCCCATTAGAGGGGGTATGTCCTATCTTCTGGACCTAACATGATACCTGGCTCATTGTAGATGTTCAGTAAATGTTAAATGAGCAAAGCCCACGAAATACAGAGGAACCCACAGAGAGTTTAAAACTGTACTCTACAAATATATATGCGGAGGCAACCATGTTTGTGCTGAAGAGTAAGGGACAAAGTAGAGAAACAGGGTGCCCCCATATTGGGGGTTTCAGATAAGAAGTTGAGAACATAAGTCCAGTTAATTCTCTCTCGAGGATATTTTCCCCATTGATTTTTCAAAGAGAGTGGAAGGAAAGAGTGGGAGGGAGGGGGAGAGAGAGTGGTGGAAAGACAGTGAGTAAGAGAGAAACAATGATGTGGGAAAGACACATTGATTGGTTGCCTCTTGCACACACCCTGATTGGAGCTAGGGATTGAACCTGCAACCATGTACATGCCCCTTGACCAGAAATCAAACTTGTGTCCCTTTGGTGCACAGGCCAATAATCTAACCACTGAGCACACTGGCCAGGGTATGAGCCCAGCTTTGTGGAGAGAATTCCCCACCTCATTCCTTACCCTGAATGGCTAGGAGCTTAGGTTTAGGTTACCAAAGAATGATCCAGTTGATGGATGATTTTACTTGTGGTGTCTCTGTCTCTCTCTCTCTCTCTTTCTCTCTCTCTCTCTCTCTCTCTCTCTCTCTCTCTCTCTCTCTCTCTCCTGTTTTTTCATCTTTGTCTTATTAAACCCAGAGCCCAACTGAGGAAGGAGGCAGGAACGAGAGCCTCCATCATTATAGCGTGATCTGACAGCTAGAGCACAGTCTTAGAATCAGGCAGAGCTGGGTCCACATTCTAGTCTGGTTTCCATGTGACCCTGAGCAAGTCATTTAGCCTCGTTAACCCTCAATTTCTCATTTATAAAATGAGAATAATTATCCCAAAGGGGCACTGTAAGGGTTAAATGAGAAGACACAGAGTACATGACACATAAGTAGTGCCAATGGTAATTATTATTGATATATTGCTATACTCAGTGATCACTGAGCAGCGATTATATAATATTCTATATACAAGAGGCATCCAGGCATTGCTTCTGACAGCTTGTCTCTGCTTCCCTTTCTTTTTAACAGGTATTCGTCAGTTACAGCTCATCCTATTCAAGGTTGCCCTGATCTTGGGAGTTGAAATCCATGTGAATGTGGAGTTTGTGAAGGTTCTGGAGCCGCCCGAAGATCAAGAAAACCACAGTAAGTATAACTTTCCTCTTCTGTCTAGAAATGAGACATTGTAAGATGGAAATTACATCTGCAGCTCTCAAGAATTTGACAGTTATTCTTATTTGGAGCTGTTTGACATAATTTCATCATTGGCTATTTTACCTTTATTTTTATTTTATTTTTTCATTGCTATCACTTTAGGTTTGCCCTTCAGCTCCAAGGGGATATATGTAATTTGATTATCCTGTCACTAGTAGGCACCACTTTTACAAAGGAAGTCAAATCAGGAGTAGGCTAGAAGACAGATTTGGTTATCTGGTCAAGTCCATTCACATGCTCTTCAAGCTGTGTACACGCAGATATGAAGATACACTTGATGTGCCTGTAGTATTAGAGTCTACTAAAGAATGTGAAGTTTCTAGAGCAAATATGAAATACATGTTCCAAATATTATTTGGTATATAATATTTTTAAGCTTTATTGAAGTCTAATTTACAAATCATACAATTCACCCATTATAATTATGTCTTATTTAGCAATCCCTCCTTTTGTAGAGTGTGTATGTAAATTCTGATTCTGTCTGTACACGATGGTCAGAGGGTTTGCTTATGATGCCTTTGCATTGTCCTTATCAAATCTTCTCCTGCCTGGACAAGGCTCTCAGTTTTGAGCCAGATAGTGTCGGAGACCTCACAGTTTCACACCCAGCACAACTCTGATTTCTCCTGTCTTAGCCAGAATATCGAGAGCTTAGGGGAGGTGTTATTTGGCTTTTGTCACTGGGCATCCGTTAAACTCTGAGACCCATGTGCTGTTCATCTTCCCCAGACCTCCAGTGGATCTTAAATCCTGATTATGAGTAGCCATCAACGTTTCATTTAAATATGGTTTCATAAAAGACTGTGTGCTGCACAATGGAACCTTTTGAGCATAATGAAGTAGGAATTCAAACTGGTTTCATTACACCCTGCATATCCTTTTGGGTCTATTCAGCAATGGAAGGGCCCTGAGGAATGTGGGGAATATAAAAGAACATGGTAGAATCTGTTAAAAAAAAAAAAAAAAGGATGCAAGTGAGACTGGTTTGAGAATCATTGAGGATAGACTCCCAGCCTTTATAGAAACCAATAAAACCAGGCATGGAGTTGGTGCTGCTGGTTTACTTCATCTTGGACTGAACTGGGTGTGAATCTGGGCAGCGTTGGGTCTTTCCTCTGGAAGCTCCATCTGGGGCACCTACACCAGGGGGCATTGTCCCTTTCTCCTGGCCAACACAGAGGGGGTATAATCACTCTCTCTTCCCACCACTCTCTGTGCCAACTCATCTCCCTTTTCTGTCCTGTTAGAAATTGGCTGGCGGGCAGAATTTCTCCCTGCTGACCACTCCCTGTCGGAGTTCGAGTTCGATGTCATCATTGGTGCTGATGGCCGCAGGAACTCACTGGAAGGTGAAGACTCTTCTTTTTGGGGCCAAGGATGGGGAAACAAGTGGGAGGGGTTGTATCCGGAAGCGGGCGGAGAAAAGGGGGCAAGGTGACAGGTGCCAAAACGGGAAGGGGTCTTATAGAAGGCAGACCACCTTGTTGTGCCTGAGGTGAGCATCTAGAGAGCAGCCATTTAATTCTTTCTGAACCTTGGTTTTTCCAACTAAAATGTGGAAAATCAATCCCTGTTAAAGCATTGTTATAAGGGCTGGGAAAGGACTCCTATGTACAGAGGCTTTGTTAAGGTTAACTGCCATAAAAATTAAAAGAAAAAAATCCACCTGCCTTTATTGAACATACCTGCCAATGTTCAAGCCATGGTGCTAAGCACTCCCACTGACTTCATCTCAGAAAAACATGTGTATATTATTAATGGCATCAGTTTGCTGTTGACTGCAGGGCCTCCCAAATGTAGCTGGCTGGTCAGGAACTTGGGCTTGCAATTGGCCTCTGAAGTGGAGGGCAGTCTTGTGGGACTGAGCCCTTCGCCTGCAGAATCTAATGTTGTATCTGGGTGGACAGTGTCAGAATGAGATGAATTATAGAACCCCCAGCTGGAGTCCTAGAATTGCTTGTTGGTGTGGGGAGGAAAAGAAAACAAATTGTAATTGAATATAGAGTTCTTACTGCCATTAAAAAGAAATTCCAATGTAAATCATTGAGAACTATAAGGACCTCAAGGAATCACTGCACTATATTAATTGCAATTTAGAATGTTATCTGTTTATCATACTTTTATTGAATGTATGATAAGTGCCAGCCACTAGACTTGAGTTAGGAAGAAATTTTGTTTTGTGTGTATGTTTTTAACAGTATTTTTATTAATTTCAGAGAGGAAGGGAGAGAGAGATAGAAACATTAATGAGGAGAGAAAATCATTGATCAGCTGCCTCCTGCACACTCCCTACTGAGCCCATAGCCAGAGTTCAAACCATGACCTCCTGGTTCGTAGGTCAATGCTCAAGCACTGAGCTAGCTACACGGGGTGGGCAGAAAATTTGTTGTTTCTGTTTTTGCCCCCAGGAATTCAATATCATACTCCTATTTTTCAAAGGGGGGGGTAAAAAACATGAAAATGTTAACAAAGGTTTTAATTGTATGAGTTTACACTGCACATGGGTCTAACACATCCTGAACAGGGTAGGTTCAGAGAACATCACTTTAGCCTTTGTTTGTCACAGCCTGGCCAGGGTGATGGGTCCTGAAGATGTTAGAGAAGGAGAAAGTCTTACTGATTCAGAAAGGCTGCTGGTGTCTCCCCTGGTGCAAAGCCTAGCATTGCTGCTGCCCCAACCCCAGATGCAGAATTCTGCTTTTGAGACCGATAGGCGTCAGAGAGCAGCTTTCTCAGTTGTCTTTTTCAGCTTTCACACCAAGTCCAGAAGAAAGACCCACTCTTTCCCTTTCCCTCTGCAGGGTTCAGGAGGAAAGAATTCCGTGGGAAGTTGGCTATTGCAATCACTGCCAACTTCATAAACAGAAACAGCACCGCCGAGGCCAAGGTGGAGGAGATCAGCGGCGTGGCCTTCATCTTCAATCAGAAATTCTTCCAGGACCTTAAGGAGGAAACAGGTGAGACTGTTACCTTCCTCCTCACTTCCCCGAGGAGCAGCTGCATTTCCCAGCTCTAGGGTCTGGGATACTCACGCCGATTGAGTGGAAGCAGGGATTTCTCCTTAATAATGGGCACGATTCCTTCCAGGACAAAGGGATTCTTGAGGGAAAGTTCTAGATGTTGTATGTGTCTATAGATACATATTTATTTTCTCAGGAAACATTTGCTGGATGCCCAATAATTATGTCCTGGGATTGAATAACATGGGATATAAAGCCAAGGCTGACATGGTCCCCACCCAAAATGGCTCCTGTCCAGGGTGGGATTCCACAGTACCGCTCCTAATGCAGCCCGGTTGGGCTGTGCGGAGATTAGCGTAAGATTCAGGGAGTGGTCTGAGTGGGGAGCCAGTCCCCTGGGGGTGGTCCCTGAAGAAGCCCAGGTGCCTTTGTGCGGTGTGCCAGGTGCCCTTCCTCCCAGGGGTTCAAGGATGCCCAGGGAGCTAGACACTCATCCAGGGCCTAGAGGAGCTGTTCATGTATTTACTCGACAAGTACACATTGAATGCCTATGAGGTGCCAGACGGTGTTCAAGGGTGTGAGACAGAGAAGTGGGCCAAACAAAACCCACTCTTGGAGCTCACATTCTGTAGAGCGAGACTTTCGGTAAGGGCGGGGGGGGGGGGGGAATAAAGCAAGCCCAGGGGAAAGTGAGGCACCAAACACCTGAAAAGACCTTGAAAAGGCAGTGTGACGACAATGGTAAATCTTTACACTAAAAATACTAGTATATCATCCACGCCCAGCACCACCTGGCTCAGGATACGCCTCATTTTCAGTGCTTCTTTTCAGTGACTTTTCACCTGCATCTCCCTCCCTACCTTTCCCATGGACCCAGTTCTCCTGATAGTGCCAATGCTCTTTGTTATTCTGCTTTTCTCATTCGTCCTTACATTTTAAATACTGTCCCCATGGCCGCCTAGTCTAGTTGTCCCGATGGTCATTTTTGGCAGAATAGCTCATTAGGTGGATGTATTGTCACTGCTTAATTGTTTACTCAATGGGGTGGCAAGCTGGCTGGCCACATGTTTCTGTCTTGCCTTCGAGCAGAGCATCACTTAAACATATTTCAATGGCTGAAGAAAAATCAGAAGGAAAATATTCTGAGAAATATGGAAAGTTACATGAAATTCAAGTTTCAATGTCTAGAAAAGAAAGGTCTATGGGACCCCCCTTCCCCCCAATGCAGTTACCTCATTGCTGGCGCTGCTCCCTTAGGAGGGGCTGGGCACAGACCGGAGGGCTCACAAGGCCCAAAGTGTTGACTCTCTGGCTCTTTACAGAAAAAGCCTGCTGACTTTTGATTTAGACCTTTCAGTTACTCACTGTCACCGCTGAAACTGCTTTTGGGGATTGTTTTGTTAAGCTAGTTTTCTAGGAATGGGGTTTGGCCTCTCCCCGCCCCCGTGATGTGTGTCCATTGCATGACCCTCTGAAGTTCAGCAAGGTTGTATTATTTTATTTAAAAAAAAAAAAAAAAAGGATTTCCTTTCAGCAGATTAGGTCCCTTTGAATGATTTAAGAATTCTCCAGCCCTCCCTTCCCCTCAAAAACCAGGAAAATAAATACTTAAATAAACCACCAACTATAAATTCTGACAGGACCTGGGGTGTGTTTTTCCAAACGTCTGAATGGGCTTCCTTTAAACGCTGCTGTGGTCGTCACCTTTGGCCATTGTTTCACAGCACGGCCCCTCGCACGGTGATAGCGCTGATTTCCGCTGATTCTCTGGGGGCCCTCTGCCTTGACGGCTGTTTCCTATTTAGTAGTAATAACGGGGTTCCTATGGTTACCCAGCACGCCTCCGTGTCCAATGCAGATAATTGCCATGCGTCTGCTCCCCTCTTTCCTTTGGAAGAAGCTAAGCCAGTGCGTCTCAAAGGTGAATCCAGTCACCCCCAGGGCTTCTGATTCAGCAGGCCGGTGCCCTCCCTGGTCATTGGCATTTCTAATACGTCCTCAGAGGCTTCTGGCTGGGGTCCCCACGTTGAGAAGCACTGAGCTAAGCTCTCCTCTCATTTGAAACCTAGTCTATAAAGTGGCTTTGCAGTGGGTGGAAAGTGAGAAAAAGATACAACCTGGCCCTCTCCCCTGAGTTGCTCCTGCTGGGGCACCTGGTGTCTGCAGGGAGCCAGGAAATGGTAGAAACCTCACCTAGCTGTATTCGCTTGGGTAAATTCTGGCACTCGGTTTTATTTTCTTCAGCCTCTTCAGTCATGTCTTTAAAATGTTTCTAGCGTAAATATGCTGCAGGCAACACGCGGGCAACACATAGCTCCTGGCGCCCTGGGCACCGAGCACACGGGACTGAGCATCGCTCGCTTCTCTTTCCAGGGATCGATCTGGAGAACATTGTCTACTACAAGGACTGCACCCACTACTTTGTCATGACCGCCAAGAAGCAGAGCCTGCTGGACAAAGGGGTCATCATCAACGTACGTCTCTCTGGGCTGTTATGTCCCGCCTTTTCCTTGGCTCCTGGGCTGGCAGCATCGGCCTGTGTAGGAGCAGCCATGGTCCTGCCAGGAACTGAACCAGGGGGTGGGGAAGGGAGTGCCTCCACCACTGTCCTTCTCCTTGGTGTTGTGCAAACAGCCCACACCAATGCATGCAGAGGTGTTTCTGCAGAGAACTGGGAGGTGGGAGGGAAGGGGAGGAGGATAGCAGGGGGGCTGAGTCCTTAACCCAAGTGTTACTGAGGGTCTTTGCCTCCTGAGAGATCACCTGAGTCGTCTTCTCCCCCACATCTCCTTCAGCCCCGCCCTCTTTTCTGGGAGGGCAGTCCTTTGGAGGCAGATGGGGGCTTCTTGTCCAAGTGGGACATAGAGATACTTTCACTGTGAGTTTCATGCTGTAGCCTCCTTGTCATGGAAGGGGAAAGCTCTTGTCATAAGAAAGATTTGAGTTGAGCCCTACCTGGTGTGGTTAAGTGGTTAGAGTGTCGGCCTGCAAACCAGAGGGTCACCAGTTCAATTCCCGGTCAAGGGCACATACCTGATTGCAGGTCCGATCCTCACCCTTGTGCGGGAGGCAACCGGTCCTCTCGCATAGATGTTTCTCTCTCCTCCTCCTCCCTTCCACTCTCTCTAAAGTCAATGAGAAAAATATCCCCACTCTTTAGGATTAAATCATTGAATTGAGTCTTGGCTCTGCCACCTGTTCACTCAGCAGCGACTAGGCTGCCTAACCTTTCTGAACCTCAGCCTTCTCATTTGCAGAGTAATAGTTTCTGTCTGAAAGGGTGGTCTGGAAGAGCACCACACCTAGAACGCAGTGGATCGCAGGTTCCCTCCACACCTTCTCCGCCTGGTTTGGCACCTGATTTTTTGTCCTGCTGGCTTCCTGGCCGGATGTGGCTTTGGTCAGGTGCTCCATCTCTCCTGAGCCCCTGATCCTGCTGTTGCAGCCGCAGCCTTGAGATAAGGATCTCAGTCCAGGGTCAGCCTGCTCTCCGCACCAGCCTGCAGCCAAGCAGCATGGTGACCATTCACTGCCGCTTGTCAGAGAAGAATGTCCCTATCTTCTCACTAGCCCCTGCTGGCAGCAGCCGGGTGGCACTCGTAACTCAGCCCTCCCCTGGGCCTCCTCCGCATTGCTTAGGGGTTTGATGAAAACCTAAGTTGCTGGAGGGGGGTGAATGAAGCCAGCTGAGCACCACCAGCAGAGGTGGGAGCAAAGGCTCAACATAGGGTGCCGCCTGCTGCCCTGGGGGGAGGCAAGGTGGTCTCCTCTTCTTTCCTCTGCTCCCAAAGTTGCCACTGCTGTCGGGATGCCTGTGTCAGATAGTGGAGGAGTGTTTGGCCCGGAGTGCAGGTGCAATGGGTACCCTTGCAGTGGGGAGAAAGGATAGCATCTTTGTCAGCCCCTCCCTGGAGCATTAGGCAAAGTATGACTTGGGTTTCCTGGGTCCCTGGCTGAGAACTCCAGCCTCTGGACGCTAAGCTCCCTCAGTTCACTCCAGGGCACTGTTCCAGGCCACAGCATGTTGCTCATGGTGACTTGATTCCTTGGCGTTGTCTGAGCCCCTTCACTTCTTGTCTCGGGCTCTCCATCGTGGCTCACTCTGGTCCCACATATCATAACTATGGAGGAGCGGGGAGCAGACCCAAGCCCGTGCTTGTCCTCACCCAGGGCTTTCCTTCCCCTCAGAGACTCTGGGAGCATCTTCTGAGCTGTGCTGAGGGGCCTGTAGGTATAAGACACGGACTCTTACCTAGAAATTGGCTGGGCATGGGAGAACTGGACGCCCATTCGGTTCAGGAGTGCTGGCCCATCTCCAGGGTCCAGCTAAGCTTTATAGTGTTTCCATAAGCTGGGAGCCAAACCATGTGTTCTGAGCCACTGGAATTAACATTCATCTTTTGCTCCTGAAGGAATGGCAAGTCCTCCCTGAATCCCTCTTCCCCTGTGGGTCAGCATCCTCCTCCAGGCACACAGAAGGTGCCGAGAACACTAACTGACTGATTGACCTGCTTCCCCCTCTGTTCCTGCTGTTCTCTGGGCTGCTCTCTATGGCTTCTGAAGGAAGATGGTTGTTTCTTCTTGAGATACCAGGCCTCTGGGCTCCCAGCTGTGCCCACCTGGCTCTCCTTCACTGGGAGGGGCACACACCCAGGGACCCTGCCTCTGCCGGCCCTACAATGCGCAGGCGAGGATTCTGGGATGCAGTGGGCTTGGTCTCGCCATGACGGAGTTTGGCGGCCAGGTGTGCGAGGTGGATGCCCATCACAGCTGGACGACTGAGCCCACCCTCATTTGAAGCACTGGACAGGCCTTGCCCAGCCTTCACTTCTGGCCTCCAACCTCTTTCCAGCTCACCACTTGGGGTGACCATACTTCTGGCTGTTTTATCCGCCTTTGCTCATTTTTGCTGCTTCCCTCTGCTGCCCCACCTGTCTGTCTAGCATTCAGGCTCGCTTCAGTTCCCTGGGCCTCTGGCAAATGGGGCCCAATTTCATTCCCCTGCTTTTATCGGAATTTAGAACTGCTTCCCCGTGCCTGCCCACTTTCCCCAGAGCTTCAGTCCCACTTTTTTCCTTCTTGTCCTTATTTCTATCCCCTCCCCAGAGTTCTCCTTCTGCCATCCATCTGCACACCTGCGACTCCTGCCCTGCAAGGCCCCCTGGCTCCTCCCAGTAGCCCCGGGCCAGAGGGACTGTCATCCCAATGCCTCCTGGGGGTCCGTCCCTTTGCCAGGTCCCATCCTCCTGCTTGGGGGACATTGGCCCCAGACATTGCATGTTGTCCACACTCATCACCCAGTCCACCTCCAGGTGCTTGCAGCATGTCTTGAAGAGGGGGCTTTCTGAGACCTGCCTGTTGATGTTTCCCTCTCTCTCCTCTCCACACCATATCAGTGTAGGGATAGGTCGGAGAAGGGAAATCAAATAGCTGGAGCTCCAGCCTGGGCGCAGTGACCTAACAGAGCGCTCAAGGCCAAAGCCAATGCAACTTGGGGGATGGGGGGCGTGGTGTAGATGTGGAAATATTGGAATTCCCGGGGCAAGGTATTTTAAGGCATGGCCATGTGGAGAATGGACCCGGTAGGTCACTCTGCAGATGAGGCTGTGCCTTCCTTGTAAATGCTCTTCCTGGTGCCTTGGAGTGGAGGTCCAGACTGCACTCACCACAGGCTGCATTCAATGTCATGGTTATTGAGGAAAGGAATTCCCACTCATCGAGCCCTTCCCATGCACCCACATCAGGCTGGGGGTTCCATATAGTCTCCTTCAGTCCTCCCATGGCTCTGTGAATGAAGTTTGTTATCTCCATTTTACAAGTAAGAAAATAGAAAGTCAGAGAAGTTTACTAACTTACCCACATTCATTCAGTCGGTAAACAGCAGAGGTGGGATTAACATTTTGCTTTCAATAACTTAAGGCCTGTCTCGGGCTTATACACACTAGTCCCTGCCCCACCTTCCCCCAGGGATGTGCACCTTTTGTGTCACCTTTTGGGAAAGATGGACTTTTGGTTTCTTTCGCCACAGGATGAGCAGATTAGATTTGGGAGACAGTGTCCTGCAGGTCCCTCCAGGATAGGTATCCTGGCCTGCTAGGCTCAGATTCTCCATCCGCTGATGGAAGCACAGCAGTTCATACTGTGAGAGCAGGGCCATGGGCAGCCTTCAGCCTTCCATCAAGAAAAGGGGAAACGAATTTTGGAGAGCAGGTCTGAGTGACGGAAACACCCATTTCTTTTCTGGTCTCATTTGCCCACTGAATGTCGCACATCTGGACCACATCAGCTTAGCTTAGTTCATTACACACACACTCTTCCTCTTACTCCTTTCTCTCTTAATTTCACTGAAGTTATCAAGAGAACCAGCCTTACGGAAGGTGCTGCTGTGTTTGCTGCAAGACCGTTATTATGTTCAGGGTTCATCACAACACCAAGCTGTCTGTGGGAACCCCTACGTGAGACTGTTCTTTTGGAGCTTAGTGCCAGGAAAAAATTACCTCGCTGGGGAATTCATTGCTGCTTTCTTTCTGATAAGGCGAGAACTGTGATAGACCTCATTTCCCTTTTGGCCTTGGATGCTTAATCAGAACTCTGTTCACCCTCACAGCTGGCCGACTAGGTTCCTCTTTCTTCCCTTGGCCCTGGTTTTCTATGTCTGCTTTGACTAGCCTCCCTGTACAGACCCCGTTCCAAGTCCTTCTGCGAGGGAGGGGGTGCCAGTCGGTCCTCGCCCCCGGAAGGGCAGGCGGCCGCACTGTGCTCCCATTCTTCCCACAGGACTACATCGACACGGAGATGCTGCTGTGCGCGGAGAACGTGAACCAGGACCACCTGCTCTCCTACGCCCGCGAGGCTGCAGACTTCGCCACCAACTACCAGCTGCCGTCCTTAGACTTCGCCATGAACCACTACGAGCAGCCCGATGTGGCCATGTTCGACTTCACCTGCATGTACGCCTCAGAGAACGCGGCCCTGGTGCGCGAGCGCCAGTCCCACCAGCTGCTCGTAGCCTTGGTGGGCGACAGCTTGCTTGAGGTACTGCCCACACGGCACGTGGGGCCCCTCACTCCTGCCTGAAGAGAGGCCCCCCATTTATGTTTGCCTGGTAGCCTCCGCTGTCACACAGCCGGGGGTGGGCAGGCCCTCGGCCAGTAGGAAGGACTCCACTGAGCCCAGCTTGGCCTCAGAGCCGGCCCTTCCACGCAATCCAGGGGAGCCCATGTGTCTGTATGGGCCAGAGAGCTTTCTCCTCCTCCTTGGGGTGCTTCTGTTGAAGTACAAACTCAGGGGGCCTGGTCTGGACTTCAGGGCACCCTTCTCAGAGCACCTGGGCCCTCAACCGGGCCAAGATCCCTTCCTCATGTGCGTGGGTTTGTGCGGCCTTGCAACATCGAAGTCATGTAGGATGCAGAGAGGCACTTGGCCCAAAGTCCAGTTCTGTCCGTGACCTCCCTACTCAGAAGGCTTCCGAGAAAATCCGCAAACACTAGGATCCTTAGGTTACACAAATGCTCTCAGAAGGGATCTGTTTTCATCTTCAGGGGAACCACTAACCAGAATGTGCTTATGTACTTATCCCAAGGTAAGCATCCAGTCCCAAACCATGCTGTGGGCGTACACGGGCCCGTGTAGTCAGCAGGGCGTTTGATGACTCGCGCCTTGCTCACCGTGTTTGTGGACGACAACCTAAGCTCCTTGGTGAAGCACTCAGCACCTCACCCCACACCCACTTCTCAGTTTCTCCCCAATACTCTGCTCCATAATCACCGCTGGACCCACACCATGCAGACCCTGCACCCACCAGGCTCTGCCATCTCCAGCCACCGAGACTTTGCCCACTGTCTCCCCCCATCCCCGCTGGTCTTGCATGGATTAAATCTGAATCCTAAGCATTCTTTCAGTCAGCACAAATGCATCTTTTATGAATCATTCCCCATTTCTGTTCCTCAGGGTGGGAGTTTACCTCTGGCTCTTTTGAGCCCCCGGGCATTTTTGCTGTTCCTATGTCCTAGGCCCCTTTATTTAGGGATTGGATTGCAGATATTTGTATTTGCAGTGAATCTTAGCAGCTGCCCAATCATCTTTCCCCCAACCTGAATCCCACCACACCCTGCACCCCCAGAGCCTCGCCTGGGCCTGGCAATGGGAGAGTGCTGGATGGAACTGGATAGCAGGCTGGGAGTGGTTAGAATCACAACACATGTCCATTTTCCTTTGCAGCCCTTTTGGCCCATGGGCACGGGCTGTGCCCGCGGCTTCCTGGCGGCCTTTGACACAGCCTGGATGGTGAAGAGCTGGGACCAGGGCGCTCCTCCGCTGGAGCTGCTGGCTGAGAGGTGAGTGTGGGCCAGGTGGAGGGCTGGGGGCGGGGGCAGGACGGGAGCACAGCTGGCTGCTAGGTGGCACCTGGATGAAGCTTGGTCCCCTCCCACCTGCCTTCCCACACGTAGCTTGATCGTCAGGGTCCCCAAGGACATGTTCTCCATCACGATCTACCTCCTTCAGTGACTCTCTGGGGGCCAGGACCGGAGGTCCTCGAGGCCAAAGAGAAATGTTCATCTGGGGTAGTCCTGAAGTCGGGGTTCCGGCACTGTTCAGTTGCCTGGAACCCAGAAGAGGTTTGGGGGAAGGTGCCATGGAGCGCTGAGTATCCCACCCTGTTGGGGGCTGGTTCTCTGATCCCCCAGGAGAGCCTGGGCTTCCTCCCAGCCCCCTGCTGTTGGCCACGTGGCTGTGACAGCTGGTGGCCTGGGAGCAGTAAGGACTGGTGGGTGGGGACCGGCCTTGGCTGGTCTTGGGTGTGGCGGCCTGTGGTCATGGGGGATAGGCCACCGGAGCCCATGTGGCTGAGTGGCAGTTATAACAAAACCACAGGTCCCTGTGCTGCCAGCTCTGCCGGGGGAAGTGCTAGCTTCCCCACCTCCCGGGCTCCTTCCTGCCTCCTCTGCACCCCTTGAACCTTCCCCACTTTGTAGGCCTCAAGAACCACGAGGGTCAGGCTTTGCAGGAAAGGGTTATACAAACACATCTGAGAAGCTCTTGAGAGCAAGAGAGGATGGGAGTGGGGACCAAGGCCTCAGGATTCAAGAGCAATCCCAACCCCATGCCCTACCTCCCTCCAGAGAGAGTCTTTACCGGCTGTTACCTCAAACGACCCCGGAGAACATCAATAAGAACTTTGAGCAGTACACGCTGGATCCGGGCACACGGTACCCAAACCTCAACTCCCACTGTGTGCGGCCCCATCAGGTAAGTCCTTCCCTGGGATCTCGTCTGGGTCCCCTGCACTGAGCTGTGGGAAGGAGGGGTCCCCTGAAATCTCAGCACATCCCTGGGAGCAAGGCCACCAAGGCCCCTGGGCCCTAAGGTGGCTCTAGGGGAGTCACAGGGTAACATGGAGTCAGCACCTCTCTGGCCCACAGGAGAGAAATAGAACACATGTAAGTGGATGTCCACATTTGTACATATATTTACACACATTTGTCACCGTGTGTGTGTGTGTGTGTGTGTGTGTGTGTGTGTGTGTGTGTTGCTAAGCGTACCTCCCTCAGTCTACTTGGTGAATATGAGTCTTTTCCATCATCGTCTTAGAGGCCTCTTATTCTCTCCCATTGACTCAGAGCCTCTCAGTTAATAGCTCCAACAGTGGGGTGCATTTTAAAAGTTAGCCCGTGACTTGTATTTACATGTGAGTGCTTCCACATCTGGGTGGATAATTGTGGCACATCGCTCTGTGTCCCAGGTGGCCTGGGTTCCCTCATGGAGGGTCCCAGCGGGAGAGGAAAGGGGTGGCCGATAGATGCTAAATTGAGAAGGTCAGGTGCCGAGGCCCCACGGCTGGGATGTGGGGGAAGACTGGTGGGCAGCTGCGTGGTCTCTCTTGTTTGTAGGTGAAGCATTTGTACATCACTAAGGAGCTGCACCACTCCCCCCTCAAGAGGCTGGGCTCCATGAGGAGATCTGTGGGCCTCTCCAGGCAGGGTAAGCTGCACTCCCGGGTTCCCTGGGAGGGGCTTTGCAGGGAGGAGGCTGCCCAGGGGCACAGAGAGCCTGGGTGACCTTGGCCAGGCTCCTCTCCTCTGCTCTTCAGTGTCCCCTTCTGTGAAACCGGACAGTGACACCCTATGGAATAATCGCCATCAAGGCATTCATACGTGTTGCACGCTTGGCATATTACAATAAACTACAAAATTACCTCCCTGGGACCTGCTCTTCTTTTCCTTTCATATCAAGTCTGAGGTCTGCCTCCGTGTGCTCCACTTTCTTTCTGGTCATCCAGAGCCTAATCCCCATGACCACAGAGCTGGAGGGAAGGAATGATACAGGAATAACTCCCAGCATCCATCAGGCTTTGCTTAGGTCACCATCCTGCTTATAGGTCTCTCTGGCCTCCAGTCACTCACCCAGACCTTGTGTCCTCCCTGCTTTAGGGCTCACTCGGCCTTACCAGCCACCCCGCTTCCCTCCAGCATCACGTGCCCCACTGCTGCTGCCTGTCATCCTCCATGCTACACAAACGGGGCGGGTTTTCCTGGTCTTTCCACGGCGCAGTCCTTTCTGGTTTCCTGCAATGCCTTCTTCTGTCTGATGAATTGCTAGATACTTTTTAAGAAGCAGCTCAAATGTACCCTCTTTGTGCCTCTCTGTGGCAAGTCCCAGCCCTGGCAGACACTGGACAACCCTGCTCATATGCCCTTCCCCTTATCCCTCTCCCCCCAGCACCCTGCTTCTCCATCATTACGGCACTGTGTCATTGTAACCCACATGCATCCTTGTCTGTCTTCCCCACTGGATGAGATGCTGGCAGAGTCCTCGTAGTCCCACCTCTGTCCAGGGGGTCTGGGGGACTGCTACAGGAGAGCATGCTTCCTGCCCCGGCATTCTGCCCTCCCACCATGCTTTCCCCAGGGCCCCTTGCCTTGGCGCTATTCCCCATGTTCCCATACATGGGTTAGTCGGAGAGCAGTCCCCAGGGGTCATCCCTGAGATTTCCCCAGAGCACCTCACTGTCTGTCTCCCATCACTGCAGAGTCAGACATCCGGCCCAGCAAGCTCTTAACCTGGTGCCAGCAGCAGACCGAGGGCTACCAGCATGTCAACATCACTGACCTGACCACGTCCTGGCGGAGCGGCCTGGCCCTGTGTGCCATCATCCATCGCTTCCGGCCTGAGCTGATGTGAGTCTGGGGCCCAGCTGGGCCTGCCCAGCTCCTCACTGCCTGCAGGGAACTCTGGAAACGAGGAGAACCAGGATGGTTCTGCTAGAGGCAGAATCTACAGAACTTGGTTCAAAATTTCTCTGCATATTTTTTATTTGAGTTTTTTCTTAAGTTTGTTTTGTTACCCCTTTGCACTGATTAATCTGCCCACAACTGCTTTGATCTGTATTCCTAATATATGACTCAGGCTCCGTGGTTTCCCGTTTCCCGCCCCTCCATTTCCATACGTGGGAAATTTGAGCGTTCCCATCATGGAGTTCTACCCTTAGGCAGGAATTATGGGTAAGACCTAATTCTTGAGGTGGGAAACGTGCCGGTTTATAGCCCAAATAATTAGAGCTGAGACCCAAATTGACTAGCTGAGTACCATTGGGCAAGCCCCGTGCCTTCTCTGAGTTTGTTTCTTCGTTTATAAGTTGGGAAGTATATCAGGTTCATTAGGGAGACTGAATTATGTGAATACCTCGTGATGTTGAAAGCACAATGCATCGATTGAAGTTGTGTTTAAATCAATGTGTGTGGGTAACCTCACGCCCACGAGCAAAGGCATCCAAAGGCTGAAAGGAGACCTATGAAGAGGTTATCAGTTGGTACCTGTAGGACGTGAGGTTGCCATGAGAAGAGGGTGTGACTCTCACTTATCACTTGATTCTTTTTTGACCAGAAGCCCATGCTAGTTTTGTAAAGAAAAGAAAACAAACATAAGGGAACTACCTAAAGGCAAAGTAGCTCATGCATTTCCCAAAATGACGGGCACCATCTTCTGACAGCCGTGATGTTCTTGTGACCCAAATCTGGACAGTGTTAGCTTCTTGTGGCTGTGGCTCCCCGGGAGTGGGGTGAGGGTGTGATTTGAGACCCGGGCTGGGGTCACTGCTCGTTCACTCCCCCCACCTCTGCCTCCTCGCCCTGAGTTTCACCTTGTTCTGATTCTCCAGCAACTTTGACTCTCTGAACGAAGATGATGCTGTGGAGAACAATCAACTGGCATTTGATGTGGCCGAGCGAGAGTTTGGCATCCCCCCAGTGACCACGGGCCAAGAGATGGCGTCAACACAGGAGCCCGACAAGCTCAGCATGGTCATGTACCTGTCCAAGTTCTATGAGCTCTTCCGGGGCACCCCGCTGAGGCCTGTGGGTAAGCACCTGCTTTGGACCACGCTTTGCTCTGCCCTTCAGCCAGTTCTGCCCTGTGCCGCCCCTGGCTGCTCTTCACCCCGGTGTCTTCTGTTCTGGGCTGACCCATGCTTTCCTTTCGATGTTGAGGCCAAACAGGGGTGGGTCCCACACACCCAGACCCGTGTGTGTATGTGAGTCTGTGTGCCATGATGCATGATACACAGGGTTCCTCTGGCATTGACAGTCTCTGGTGGGACTGCACTGCTCCCCGCCCAGGCCATTCGCATCTTTCATCGGGGGGAGAAAATTACTTTGGAGGGACCTTATAGCAGAGACACCCCTGAACCCCTGGGTGGCTGTGGCAGGATCCAGATCTCAGCCATACTTTTCCTTCCCAACAGACTCTTGGGGCAAAAACTATGGAGAAAATGCTGACTTGGGCGTGGCCACATCATCTCTTCCTCACAACTATCTCAACCTCACACTTCCCAGGAAAAGGACTCCACGAGTAAGTCGAGGCTTGGCTTTCCTTGGACTGCTTTTTGCGCATGGAAGGGGTTGGGTTGGAGAATGTCCTGCTCTTGGTCTGTATCTGCTGATAAATCACACAGAAGACTCACACAGTAAAACTCAATGAGTTCCCCCGGCACTTTGATGACTTAGAAGCCTTTGCAGGAAGTCCTTGTGGATCAGTGCAGCCTCCAAGGTGGGGAGGAGAGACAGCTTCTCACTTTGTTGAGCAGTTTATTTAGATCAGGAACACAGGGGCCATTGAGTGGCAGGGTGGTGATGCTACATTTACACATCCTGTTCTATTCTTTTTTTATTCATTCAACGAATGTCCGTTGGACCTTACAGTATGCCAACATGAGGGCTGAACTTTTAGTTAGTTTGTGACAAGGGGAGGAAATGGACAGAAATAACTACTATGTGCTCCTTGCCTTTGAAGAGGTCAGAGCCCAATAAAGAGGTTCCCAAGCTTCCCTGCCCTATGGCACACTGCCTGTCTCAGTACTTTTTTTCACAGTGCTCCTCGGTCCAAAGAAACGCCCAGGAGTTCCATTTGTTCAGTAGTTCAGTAGTTAAGTCCAAATATTTCATAAGGGCATTCGGCAAGGTCTACGGCAGACTTCTCCATGTTTCCCTAGAAAATCGAAATACCCCGAGGCTCCTCTGTGAGTTGACTGGGGCCATGGGGTGCCTTGGTACCCAGTTTGGGAATGATGGGCCTAATGAGAAATAATTGTATCTGAGCAATGGTATCTCTGGGGAAGGGATAATACAAGTTGTCTTACTTATTATGCTCATTGTACAGATTTTAAAAGGGGGGCCCAGGGGTGTTAGGTGGCAAGTCCTGGCCCAGGGCTCGCCCTGGCACTCAGCCTATGGGAGCCTCCCCTGGCTTGGCAGAGGGTGCAGGCCTCTGCCTGTCTCAGCCTCTCTCGGTTGCTGACAGTCATGCCATGTCCTGCCTCCCCTCCACCCAGGGCGTGGCCAGGGCCCGGTGCCTCCCTCCTTTCTTTCAGCTGCCTGAACAGTGGTCACTTTTTCCACTGAGGCCTGTGCTTCCCGGAATGTCGCAAGGAGTTGTTGGGCTAACTCCAGGGGCTGCATAGGATTCTCAGCGCTCCCCCACGCCCTGTCTACAGGGAGGGGAGGATGAGCCAAGTGAAGGCTGGGAAGGAAGGTGCACAAGTCTGTCAGGGTTTTCAGCAGAGCTCTGTCTGCTCTGCACCCCAGGGTTCCCCGTTCAGAAGTTCAGTGAGAGGGCTGCATTGCCCAACACATGTCCGGGGGACTCCAGGGCTCTTGTCACCACGCACTGCAGTGACACCTGAACATATGTGGCCTCTGTCCTCACTCTCCTAGGCATGCCACGTGTGGGTTATGCCTGCATTGATGGCCACTTCAGCCATTACATGCGTCACATGTGACATATACACGTATGGGGCCTAATGTTTTCTCCATTCTGAGCCCATTCCGTGGAGGACAGCAGAGCACAGAGATTGTCACTTGTCCATGAAAAGCCCATCCCAAAGCATGTTAGTGGCCCAGGATGCAGATCCTGCTCCGCTGGCTGATTCTGACCCAGGTCCTCCTCCAGCACTGGTCCCTGGAAGAGTGGCGTGCACATGAGTCTGAGTCAGCCTCCCAGCCCTCCTTTCCATGTGTCTCCTGCACCAATACTCTGCAAAGAGTGAGTGGTTGCTAGGGAAGATAGTGCTTTTCTGCCGTGGCCAGTTTTACTCAGTGGTTAGAGCTTTGGCCCGAAGACTGAAGAGGAGCAGGTTCAATTCCAGTCAAGGGCATGTACCTCAGTTGCAGGCTCATTCCCTGGCACTGGTTGAGATGAGTGTGGAAGACAACCAATTGATGTGTCTCCCTCACATCAATGTTTCTGTTTCTCTGTCTTTCTCTCCCCTCTTACCCTCCCCCCCATTCCCTTCCACTCTCTCTAAAGAATCAATGGAAAAAATATCCTCTGGTGAGGATTAACAAAAAAATTTTTTTAATGTGCTTCCTCCTTCCATCTACTCAATACACATTTCCTGAGTGCCTATTTTATGTTGAGTTCTTCCCTTGGAGCTAGAGGTAGAGCAGTGAACAAGACAAGCAGGGCCCTGACCAGGGAAGCTCATCTTCTAGAGGGGCTTCTGAAGTTCCTCTCACTCCCCTTCCCCACTCCTCTCCCAGAGCCACCCACCCAGCAGCCAAAGCTCCCGGTGAGCTTCTAGTGCTTCTCAGTTGAGAGATTTGAAGGTTTGGGAAAGAGAGTCCAGAGGACCAGGTCCCAATGCTGCACGTACTCACGTGCATGAACACAACACCTGTGGTTTGCAGGCTGATCTCTCCTGCCTTCTGTGCAACCACAGCAGGAGATTCTGAGCTGATTTACAGCATGGCAATGCACGTTGAAGCCAGGCAGACACGTCTTTAGGTCTGCTGGAGTGTTTACACCTCTCAGGAAGTCCCTTGGCTTATCTGCAAGATGATTTTAATAACAAGCATTGCATTGCTGTGAAGACACCGTCAACAAATGCACGCTGCGGGCCTGACACATTCTTTGGCACGCAGAAAGGGCTCCATAAGTGACGGGCCATGCCCTTTGTAAGTGCTGCTTAAATAAAGATGCTCGTCTTCTGAAAAGATGAGTGAAACTAGTTGGATCGAACTGTTGGTTCGGTACTGAAACCATGGGCGATGTAGCACTTAGAGCCTCAGGAACAGTTTCCTGTGTATCCCATTTGCCCCTCGAGTCACCTTCTAGGTGGGGAATATGCTCTCATCCCAGTGAGATGGGGAAACTTGGAGGTAGGGAGGTTAAATTGCAATGTCATGTAGGTGGTAAATGTCAAAGTCAGAACTGAATTCTAATTGCTGCTAACTAGCATTAACCTTAAGGATGGTGTCTAACACTACCACAGCACTTCATGTTGTAAGAAGTATTTTACATAAATGATTTTATTAATTCTTACACCAGTTGTGACAGTGTACAATCCCACGGTGAGGAAACTGAAGTCAGAGAGGTTAGGTGATTTCCCTAAGGTCACACAGCTGGGAAATAATTCGTGTCAGAACTGGAACCCATGGTTCCTTTCTACGCTGCCATTGAAGAAGAACAGACACTCTTGGCAGTGTCACTGCCATCTTTCTAAACCACATGGCAACCACCCTTCTTAGCCAGGTCATTTGCCTGCAATGGCCAGTCTCTCCTCCTGTGACCCAGATCTTAATTTCTCCACAATTTGGTTATACTAGCTAACTAAATACAAAGCTTGTTTACTTTGGGCCAAATTCACATTAAGTCAGGCAATATGGGAACATGGTGATTTTATGCTGATCAAATAAATTATCAGATTGGGAGATATATGTCTAATTTTTTTTTTAGTGGCGATACCAATTAGTTTAATAAATGATTTTTAGTGTGCAGAATCTTACAAGTTACTAGGAAATCATGATTTTTAAAAAAAGTTCAAGTGAAAGGGATGGAAAATATTAATAGGAAAAGAAAGTGAATTACTGATTTATTCTCATGTTCTGTCTGACTGGCACAATAAGTATTTTCTTTCTTCTTGCAACCCAACTCTTTGCAGAATAAAATAGAGCCCAAGGAGATGGGGTTGCTGGGGCAACTTTAGTTCCCAAATAGAGATATACAGATAAGAAAAAAAATCCATAAACATCTAAGTTTGCGTTTTCTCCACCATTTTGGTTTAGCCTAGCTCTTCATTGCTCACCTCTCCACACAGACCACGTTAGTGTCCCGTGGGTCAGGCTGAAGCAGAGGAGCTATGCCTGCCCCACACACGTTCCCTGAAGGAACTGGGGTCTTCTTAGGTCCTGTTACTGCCCACACTTCCCCCAGATGTGCTTTCTGTGGGCCCGCAGCTAACTCTGGGTTTGGACCTAGACAGGCTCTGGTACAGTCACACCCACGGCTGTTGAATGCAAAAGAGAGAATAACATGTGTTGTTCTTTGAGGGAAAAGCCAAGTCCTCATTTAAGGTGGAAAAAAAAAATAAACAAACAAAACAAAACAGAAAACAATAGAAAAGCCAAAGATGGTTACCGCGTGTTCCTGCTGGTGGGCAGGACATCTTGTGCTCCCACAGGCTGCCGTCCCAGGCCGGCGAGGCATTCACGGGCTGCGGAGCTGGGGCCAGAGAGCCTGTGTCTCTAAGACCCAGTGCTGTTGCAAATAGGTCATTTGTTTCTCTTGGTGTTTGCCCAAGCGTTGGGCCTGAAATAATTTCCATTCACAGAATAATGATTTATTGGGAGCTGGGGAGAATGTAGGAGGGACGGCAGGGCCCTTTGATCTGTTAGGGTTTTTGTTTGTTTGTTTTTTGTTTTGTTTTGTTTTTTTGATGCCTGGGTAAACTTTTTAAACAAATATTAATGACTAAGCTCTGGTTGATCTCATCTTTGAAAATATTGAAGATCCTGGTAAATATGGGGAGGGGGGAGTGGTAAGGGGGGGTATAAGAACTTGGGAAGCAGGTGCTTTCTATTGGAAGCCAGTGAGCACACAGCAGACCATGCTGGGAACTGCAGTGGTGGTATTATTGCTGTTGCTATTGTGTGGTATGTTAGCATTTATTGTAATAACAACCAAAACTTTTAGTGTTGTTCTGGAACAACCAGGGGGTAAAAGAATCCTCTTGAGATGGGGCAAGTTTAGGATGTGTAGGGCTGACGGGGCGGCACCCCTGGGTTGGAAGGGAGCGAGTAGCCAGCCGCCCTAGCTGCTGCCTCCGAAGTGAAACAAAGGCCGGGATTTGATTTGGGACTGCTGTGGCGGGCCCTCTGAGGCCCAGGAAGCTCCCTGTGGGTGGGAGGCATAGTCGTGGGGTGATTCCGTGGTCCTCAAGGAGCTGGCCATTTGGAGAAGGCCCCAGCTAGAAACTGTGGTAGAGAGGTTTAACTTCATTGTCAAGAATGGACTCACCCTGCCGTGTGCAGGAGAAGTACTAAGTCAGCCCTCACACCCAGCCCAGCCCATAGCATCAGCACAGCCTGAACGGATCCACTCATTCCTTTGAGACGCAAGCCCGACAGCAGGTGCCCGTGTGGTCCTCACAGAGGTGATGTGATGGGCTCGGGAGTGCGTATTTCTCTGGTGTAAACGTCCAGAGTCGGGCAGCAGAAAGTAGGCTGTAAAAGGCTGTTGGTAGGGCAACCACGTAATGGATTGTCTAAACCAGGATGCTTTGGAGGGTGAAAGGAGGCATGGTAATGATGCCAGGGACAAAGAGCGATGAATCACATGGTCCAGGGCACCCTGGCTGTACACTCGCCGTAGGGTTCAGACACAGTCTGGTGCTCCTGTGAAGTTAAGCTACCTCCCACTGGTAGCTAGGGTGGTGGCCGAGTGGACGCCACTTTCCTGGGCAGCTGCTCTGAGTCCCACGAATCCTGCCTGAGAGGTGAGCCAGCGTCACCCCCTTGTCAGAGGTGGTCTCATAGGCAGCACCTGAGGGGCTTAGGCAGCCTTGGAGTTCATGGCCTGGGACTGAGGTCGCATTCACAGCAAGGGAGGGTCCTTGCTCTGTCACAGGGAGTCTGTGCTGTGCGATGTTTCAGCTGGGTTTGGGGATGTGACTCCCCAGGTGGAGTGAGGCCCCATCCCGTCCTCTGTGCCTGAACGGAGCTCTGTGTAGCCTTAGTCCCGGTGCAGGGGAGGGTGTGTCTGTCTGTCTCCTGGGCAGGCAGGGCTGCAGGCCCAGTGCTGGCCCAGGGCTGTCGGTGGATCCTCGGTTCGTGATGGTCCTGAGCTCACGGTGCTGTCTTGGCCTTTGCAGGTGGACAACCAAACGGAGGAGAATAACGACATGAACAAACGGAGGCGGAGAGGCTTCAACAGCCTGCGCGAGGTTCGTGTGCACAGCGTCGGTTTCAACAGAGACCCGTGGCCTGGCAGCCCGTGGGCTGGCAGCCCGTGGCCATAAGCTCGGCCTCCTTGGTCCTCCTTGCTCTCCTCTCTCTGGAGCTGCTCAGTCCCAAGCTTGACTGGGTGGAAAGATAGTCAGTTCTGGTCCTCGCTCCACTACTTACCAGCGATGTGACCTTGAGAAACAGAGCCTGCCAGAGTGGGGCTCACGTCTGTAAACTACAAATGATACATTGGAAACGCATGAAACCTGGCAGGGTTTTCAAAGATCATATAAGATGCTATGACCTATGGCACCTATGCTGATAAATAGGTAATCATTATCAATAGTGAGCAGTGAGGAGGCACCAGCTGTCCTGCTTTTCTCCCAGTCCTTGTTTCTACCTTTCCTGTTCTCTGCACATTGTCTTTAAGGCCAATGTCCCAGTGCCCGCAAGTGCCACCTTCTGGTGACAGGAGAAAATTACTTTGTCAAAACCAGGCACGAATCTCTCTCCTGCTACTGAAAAATTGATCAGCAGAAAAAGAGGGTATCAGTTCCACTTCCCCAGGCAGCTCTTTAAAGAGACCTGAGAGATGCCTTCATTTGAATAGGCCATACTAGTCCCACCAAAGCAAGCCCAGGTGTTGTCAGTGAACTGCGGGAGGCCGGCTCTAGCTAGTCTGATGCCTGATGCCACGATTATGACACAGAGGCACGTGGAGTTGTTTGTATAGTACAGTGATCGGCAAACTCATTAGTCAACAGAGCCAAATATCAAGAGTACAATTGAAATTTCTTCTGAGAGCCAGATTGTTTAAACTTAAACTATATAAGTAGGTACATTGTTATTAACTTAATTCGGGTACATGGTATTTTGTGGAAGAGCCATACTCAAGGGACCAAAGAGCCGCATGTGGCTTGTGAGCCGCAGTTTGCCGACCACTGTTATAGTATAGTATACCTGAGTTAGAGGACTTAGAAAAGACTCCCATCTTAAATGTATATTTTTATGACATTGTCTTCATGTCTGTGACTTGCTTCATGTGGAAGCCTTGACCGGGATCAGCACACTGGTCCTCACAGCTGAACTTTGTAATGAATAGAGCCACCAGGCCCGTCATGGGAAAGAGGGAGCTGCCTATTGCTCAGCCCATTTTCTGGGATGCTCCAAGGGAAGCGCTGATAAAGCCTGCAGTTCCATTCGTGTCTTAAAATGTGCTCACACTCATATTACCCACTGAGTCCAAATCACCCTGTCCGAACCACTACAACTTCTTTGGGAGAATCCCTTCAAGAATTACTGCTGTGAGCCAGAAGCCAGCGAACCGGGAGATGATTGAGAGGAGGAAGCGGAGGCTGAGTGACAGGCAGAAGAGATGTCCTTTTCTCCAGTTAAGGGGTTGGCTCTCACCTGTGTGCCTGGGATTTGCTTTGGCCTCCCCCTTAGAAGCGTCCCTTACATGCACTTTGTCTCAGGGAGATGCCTGCTCCTGCCTCTCACTGGGCCTTATGTGAGGGGCTGTTTGTGTTCTTTCTGTTGACGGCAGCTCAGGAGGGGAGTGTGGAAAGAAATCTGTATCACCTGTCCCTTCTGAGATGGCTCTGGGCTGTTTTCCAGGCCAGCTTTCTTTGTTTCCAAGTCAAATTGAACTAAACCATAATTCTTTCTCAATTCTCACTACTGTTAAGTGTGGGCCTAGGCCCAGCAGCATCAGCATCACCTGGCAGCTGGTTAAAAATTCAGAGTCTCAGGGCCCACCCTGGACCCACAGAGCCCAAATCTGCTTTTGAAGGAGCCCCTGGTGATTCATGTCTGGGAAGTGCTGTCTGCACGACCCACCATCCCGGGGACTTTGGACTTAAGCAAACAGTGACCTCTCATTAACCCGCCCTCCTTGCCCTCCAGGCTGGGTTGCTGTGCAGTCACACTTCCCACTTTGAAGTGGGGAGTGACTCCGGTTGCTGTTTGTCCAGCACTTCAGGGTGGCTGCACAGACAAGGTTTCCCACGGGGCTGCAGCTCTTAGGGAATCTGTTAAAAAAACAACCGACTGCAGCTTGCTGCTTCCCCGGAATGTCTTTATTGTCCTGAGAATGTCTGTTCCAGAGATTTGTTGTCTTCTGGGAAAGCAGACTGCCCACTGGACACAACAGGGCCATTTTCACCCAGAGGCTTGTGGGAGCAGATCCTATGGAAAGGGGAGACGAACATTCCATGAAGACTGGTACTTTTCCAGGCTTTATTTGTAGCAGACGAGCTAAAGAAACCTTACATGGAACTCCATATATATATATAAAACGTGTGTGTGTGTGTGTATGTGTGTGTGTGCACGCGCGCGCGCGTGTGTGTGTGTGTGTGTGTGTGTGTATAAATAATTGATTTCAGAGAGGGAGGGAGAGAGAAACATCAATGATGAGAGAGGATCTCTGATCAGCTGCCTCCTGCAAGCCCCCCACTGAGGATCAAGCCTGAAACCTGGGCATGTGCCTTGACCAGGAATTGAACCATGACCTCCTGTTTTGCTGGAACTCCATTTTATAAAATGGCATCATCAAAAGATCACAGCCAATGCCTCACCCGTCCTTAGTCACGTGGATATCATGTACCTGGTACAAAGCACCAAGAGGAGCCCTTCACCCCCGTGGCATCCTTCTCCAAAATGCATAACCCGGTCTGACCACGAGAAAAGATCAGAGCACCCCTGATTAAGGGACTTTGTACACAAGAGCTGACCCATCCCCTTCGAAACTGTCAAAGTCCTAGAAGACAAAGACAGATGGAGAAACTGTACAGATGGGAGAGAACTAAGGAAAAATCATGACTTAATTCAGTGTAGGATCCTGGATTGTATCCTGGAACCAAACAAGGAAGCGTGTGGGAAAACTGGCGTAGTCCAAATCGAGTCTGTAGTTTGTGGTATCACGCCGGGGTGGATTTCTTATTATGATGACAGTATCGAGATTGCTCCCGATGTTACCATTATGAGCAGCTGGGTGGAGGCTATGCAGGAACTGTCTGTGCTGTCTTTGTAGTTTCTCCATAAATCCAAAATTATTTCACAATTAAACGTTGTTTTTAAATGGTAGCCCCAAGAGAGCGTGGCAGATTGGAGTTGGGATTGAAATGCCAAGGAGGAGGAGGAAGATGTCCAAAGCCTGTGCCTCAAGGACATCCCTCTTGCTCCCTTCACACACACACACTCCCCCCCCCCCCCCCCCCCCGCTATTCACCTCTTGGGAGCCACAGGATGTATTTTGAAAATGATTTTACTCACCGCTTCATTATTATATTTGATTTTTTTTGTGTGTGAGTGTTGCAACCATGTGAAATGTGTTACGCTCCCATTCTACAGATGCAGAAACTGTAGGGAAGTTCATTGCCAAGGCCACTGGGCTGGGAAGAGAAAGAGTCAGGATGCAAACCCTAACTCTCAGGCTCCCAAGCCTGGCTATGCCCGTCTTTGGGCATTGCCTGCGGCTTGTGCCTCACTTCCTGAGACCATGGAGATCTCCTTCTTCAAGAAATGAGTCCCCTGTCCTCAGCCCCCAGGCCCCTTCCCTGATATCTGGGTTCTGGGACACAACCACCAACGCTCTGATTTGGACTTTGCAGCGGTCAGCCTTTTCCAGCCGGAGTTTGGGCTCCAGTCAAGAGGGCAGTATCAGTAAAGAAGGTGGAAATCAGAACAAAGTCAAGTCCATGGCAAGTCAGCTGCTGGCCAAGTTCGAGGAGAGCTCTCGGAACCCTTCACTCCTGAAGCAGGTGAGTCCCATCACATGCCCGCATGCAGCCTTCTTGGTGACCAGAACTGAGAAGCCAGCAGAAATGTTCCGGCTAGTGATGGATTTCAGGTATGCCAGCCACACCTTGCTCAAGCAAGCCTTCTTCCAGACCCGGGGTCAGCAGAATTTTCTAAAAGGGGCCAGGTAGCCAATACTTTAGACTTCAGGAGCCATCTGATCTCTCTTCAGCTACTCAACTCTGCCATTATCGCAGGAAAGCAGCCGTAGACAATTCCTAAACCAATGTGTATGCATGTGTTTCAATAAAACTTTAGTTACAAAACAGGCTGCAGGCCCAATTTGGCTGGGGGACTGTAGTTTGCCATGCCTGTTCTGCGTTAGAGAAGAACCCTTTCCCTACTTTGGCTTTACTTTGCAACCATGGCTTGGTTTGCTGCTATCTATGAGATGTGCAGCGGGAGGAAGCTTTAGAGTGTTGACTGCCTGGGAGAGCACCAAGTCCTTGTTGAGAAGACCCACCCAACAAGGGGAAACTGGGTCAGCGGTCTTAGCTTACTGTGGGCCTGCAGCAATGGGGACCAACTTCCCCAGTGTTGGGGTGCCTCTCTCTTCCCTCGGGTCAGGTTGGCAGGGCTGAGTGTCTACCAGAGTGAAGATGAGGCTGACAGCGGGCAAAGCTGAGGTCAGGCATCAGGCAGGGCTGACCTCTCCTAAACTCTGGCTTGGGGTCTGCGTTGCATGGCTCAGTTGGCTCCCCTGCAGGCCTCTGGGATGCCACTGCCACATTACCAAAGCCTGGGGCAAGGGGGCTGATCTTTCTTTGGACAATACCTGTCCCGTGACAGATGAGGCTCCTCTCAGGAGGAGGGCAGACTCTAGGTTAATTCGGTTTTTAGGTGATCACAGAGGTCCCCTTGGTCTTGAGGTGGACCGTGCTCCTCCAAACAAACGGACCTTTCCAGGAAGCCAGGCTTTCATATAAGGGGGTCATTTTCTGAGACTTCCTACTCTGACGTTTTGTCTCACTTGCCCCTCTGGAGGCTGGTCCCTTGCAGCCCTGAGTGTTGCTAGAGTTTCTCCCATCAGCTCCTATCCCCTGGTAGGCCGGAAGCTCTTCCATTTCCAGCAGACTTGGGGGCCGGTTACCCTGGCCAGGCATGGGCTCTCGCAGGACCTGTCCAGTGTCCAGGTCTGAGCCAACAGCAAGGTCTCCCTGAATACACACTTTGTCCCCGAGGAGGGGACTCCGGGCCTTGATGTCTGCCTGGACAGAGAGCCAGGGCTCAGGTTTCCTGGCAGGAGCCCGGCCAGAGCTCAGCCCATGGCACACTTGCTCTCTCTGTACCTGAAAACTCTCGCTCCCCGCCTCCCTTCTTCTCCTCCTCCCTCTCAGTCTGACTCAGCCTTTTCCTTCGTGTTTCCTGCGGCTGCTATTTTGGACTTCCCGTCCTCCTCCCAGGAACGCCATGTCTCGGGGACAGGTAAGCCTGTCCTTCGCTCCTCCTCTGACCCTCCTGTTCACTCTCGCTGTCTCCAGCCAGAAGATCTCACCGCCAGCCCGCCGCCTCCTCTGAAAAGGCAGGTAGGGCTCCTCCCAGTGGACGGGGTCTTGGTGGAGCCAGAGGGGACTCTGATGCAGAGGGGTGGGCTCAGTCAGCCTCTGCACACCCGAGTAAGGCTGATCATAGGTTCTCTGGGGAGGCAGACACAGCATGCTGTCCTTCCATACATGCCATTGGTCCTGGGTATCTGCTGACCAACCCCTGTGCTTCTCTCTGGTGGTCTGTTTGCTTGGGGACACAGTCCACACCACACAGTCTGCGGCCTATTTTGTCGGATGCCCCCAGAACACAGCTTTAGCTGCAGACCACTTACCTAGGCTGATGTGTAAAGGGATGAGGAAGTAGCAGTGATGGCGGAATGGATGTAGGTGGCCATTTGGCTGCCCGCCTTGAAGGGGGAAGGCTAGGGTGGGGCGCAGTCCCCCTGGCACCCAAGTAGACAAGTACCTTGCAGGTGCAGCGGCAGCCATGCACTGTGGCTTTCCCTAGCCAGCATCTCTGGGTTGGGAATGTGCACAGACTCACTGTTTTGACCACAGCATACAGAGACAGCTGGTCAGCATGAGACATGTGTGTTGCTTCTGGGCAGTGGAGGTTGAATGAGGTCAGTGTGGGCATGAAGCAGAGATGTTGTCTTAGTGTATAATAATTACCTAACGGACATTTGTTTTTCTTCAATTAAAAAAAAAATGGAGTACTTAAAAAATACCAGTCTCTGGTGCCCATCCCAAGACCAATTCAACGAGAACCTCCGGAAGTCAGGCCCGGTCTTGGGTATTTTGTTAAAGGGCCCTGGTGGCTGCAGTGTGTGTCTAGGGTTGAGAATATGGGTTGTACTGGTTTTGATTCGGTGGGTCTGGAAGGAGGCCCAACAGTCACGTTAAGGAGGATGATAGATTTATATAATGTTATTAACCAGAATAAATTAAAAAGGAAATGTAAGAAAAAGAAAGAAAGAGAGAGAGAGAGAGAGAGAGAGAGAGAGAGAGAGAGAGAGAAAGAAAGAAAGAAAGAAAGAAAGAAAGAAAGAAAGAAAGAAAGAAAGAAAGAGAGAAAGAAAGAAAGAAAGAAAGAAAGAAAAAGGAGATATCAGGTGATTCTGGTGCAGATGGTAGACCATCAATCAGCGCCTGAGGTTAGTTTGGAATCTTACTCAAGGTGACACCAGTTGTGCCCTGGGCCCTTGGTCCTCCTGGGATCCTCATGTTGGGGATCCTCATGTTGGGGAGGAAGGGGGTGCAATGCAAGGACCCTAGTAGGGAAGGAAGCTTGATTTGTCTTCTCTCCAGTTCCCCTCCGTGGTTGTGACGGGGCATGTGCTCCGAGAGATAAATCCAGTGCCTGCTGGCGGAGAGTGCCCAAGCCGGCCCCGCAGAGTCCGAGCCCAGTCTGACCTGCAGCTGGGGGGGCGCGAAGAAATCCCTGCCTGCCAGGGGGCGCTGGCCCTGTCGGGGGTGCTGCGGCGGCTGCAGCTAGTGGAGGAGAAGATTCTCCAGGTGAAAGCCTCACCCTGCGCCCTGCCTCTTCCCCGGTCAGAGGGGGGTGCCTTCCATTCCCCTTTCTCCTCTGACTGCCCAGGGTGGGTTCCTTCTCTTACTGTTTGTGCCCTGTCCCCCATCCTGGGTGTGTGAGACATGCCTGCCTAACTGCCCCCCACACCCCACCATCCCGTCTCTGTCACTCTCTCTTTTTCTTTCTCCTTTCTCACTTTGGCTGCAGAAGAGGGCTCAGAACTTGGCCAACAGGGAATTTCACAAAAAGAACATTAAGGAGAAGGCGGCTCACCTGGCCTCCATGTTTGGACATGGGGATTTCCCGCAGGTAAATGGGGTCTCCCAGACCCAGGATCCCGGACATCGGACAGCCCGTGAGGCGTCCATGACTCAGTCTCTGGAGCTCCCGTTTCCTCCTTCCCAGTGCTTTTATAGCATGAGGCACGGTTCGTTTGTCCAGCCACTGAAGAATTCAAGGCGCTGTCTAAAAAAGATGCAAATAAGAATGCTTAAAATAAGTAGATAAGTCGGGACAAAGGGAAAACTAAGGAGAGAAGTGAAGAGCTCAGGTCAAAGGTAAATGTTACTGAACAGGTACACGGGTTGTTAGATCCTAGACAGCTTCTGAATAGGCTCTGAGCTTCCTAAGAGCCAGCACAAAGGACAAACTGGTCAGTTGTAAGAATTACATGACAGCACCTCTAAGGTGCAAGCAGCCCAATTGTTCATGATGTTTGGGGGCCTGACGGAGACTCTCCCGTGGCCTTGATCAGGGAAACACGGAGGAAGCGGTCAGCCCCATGCTATAATCTGCACTCGGCTTTCCCAAAAGGCAGCACAGGGCCAAGAATAATGGCTTTGCCTTAAAACAGTGGTTGGCAAACTCACTAGTCAGCAATACAACAATTGAAATTTATTTTTAGAGCCAAATTTTTAAAACTTAAACTTCTTCTAATGCCACTTCTTCAAAATAGACTCTCCCAGGCTGTGGTATTTTATGGAAGAGCCAAACTCAAGGGGCCAAAGAGCCGAATGTGGCTCAAGAGCCGCAGTTTGCCGACCATAGCCTTAGAATACAAAGCCTGCCCCTCCCCTTCCTCCCTATCCCCCCATGAGCCAGGTGCTTATTTAGAAACTTGCAGAAAAGAAGAGTGTGTGCAGGCAAGGGGACAAAAGAATGGATAGGAGGTCCCACAGCACCTGTATGCGTGAGACGCTCTCTTGCAATAAACCTGGTCTCTAGAACATTCCTCCCAGGGTCTCTCACTCGGCCTCCTCCAGAGTCACTGACATGGGAAGGAGGCTTTGCATTTATTTAGCTCATTTTTAGGTGGCGCAGGTGCCTGCAGCCGCAGAGGCCATCTGCCCCGAAGTAGCCCAGGCTTCTCCTTTGCTAAGCTTGCACCTACCACTTTCTACCAGACCTCAGAGTGAGGGCCTCGGGACATGGCTGGTATCTGTGGCACACACAGGTAGGAACAGGGTGTACCTGCTCCAGCTGTTATAGTGTGACAAGGCGGTTGGAGCAGAAAATGGAGCCAGCAGCCAGACAGCCCCGCTGGGCTCCAGTGGCAGAGGCCTCTGCTTGGACCCAAGAGGTGGGCCTGGATGCGCCTTCCCCTCCTGGAATGCGTAGGCAGGGGCTGCCCCCCGGCGAGCATGCTGTGCCTTGCCCAGGGATAACCACTCTCCTCTGTTTCTGTTCTGTGCAGAATAAACTCATCTCTAAAGACCTGTCCCATACTCAGCCTCCGTCTTCTCCCTCCTGCCTTCCATCTCCTGACCCAGCAGCTGCCGCTTCCTCTCCGTCAGCTGTTGACTCTGTTTCTCCTGCCAGAAAGGTAGTTGTCCCGAACCATCAGCTCCCTCCACTCCCTGCATGTTCCGAGATGCCCCGCTCTGCTCGGCCCACACAGCCAGCTGAGCTGGGCCTGGCAGATGGAAATCTGTAAGATATTTCCCAA